GCCAGGGGACCTCAAAGTGGTTTACCGGATCTTGAAAGACGCGGACCGCATTTGCTGCCCGCTGTTGGAATTGAACCACGACGATAATCTAAGATGTCATCCGCTGAAATTGAGAGTACAGTATAGCCGGCTTGGATGCAGCAGAAATTTCTTCTCCCTCCTAGTGTGTCAGCTTGGAACGCTCTCCCAACTTGTCATTTAGGCTCCCAATCTAAGGATATTTAAAAAGCTGCTTGACGGTGCATTGTCTCAATTGCATTCCCATTTATGACTTGTGTTAGCCAGGGGTTAAATAATGTAACCAAATCATATGTTACCAAAAGCCCAACTCTTGTCACGCGAACATCTCATATTTTCTTTACATGTCTATGAGTCCAAGACACGTTTTTCACTTTGTCAATAATATTTACCTCCTCCATGTCTTCCATTCCACTGGACTTGTTAAGTATTGCAGTTTTACCCGTAATACATCATTGTTCCCTTGGAATTACATACGAGAGTTCGGTGACGCGAACATAATGGAAAACGAAGGATAAGAAAAGCTACAGATGACCTGCCATTACATCCAAGATAATCTGCTGTTGACCGACAATTGCTTTCTACATAAGAGCCACTGAGGATCAGAAGAGCCGTAAAATTGTGTGACGCAGCAAAATTTGGAGTACTTTGCTGAACTCCATCAGGCGATCTGAAGTCAGTAAGTACCTGGCGATCCATGATGACGGTTGACTGAGTAAACATGTGGTCTGACTTGGAGCTGTTTGTTGCGCTGTCTTATTTGGAATAAACGTTGGCACGTGCACATTCATTCTGGTCCTAGGTAACCAGCTCCGCATTTGCATACAAACTGGTATGCGAAATGAGCGTTTTCTCTGATAGGTCGTGTTTTCTAAGACTACTGGCAATGGGCGTGCGTGGGTTTTCAGAAAGCTCGAGCGATCTCCAGTTGAGCGGATGGGATTCGTCTGAGGTTATCTCCAGAGGGATTGAACACTTGCAGCGTAACAATGTTAAGGTAGATCAAAAATAGCGACTTAGGCGAATACATTCTGACAAAATATATATTTCCAAACACTTCTGAGCTCGTTTGCACACCAACCTAACAACACGATGAAGTACCTTGATTGAGTCTGGGAGAATTCATCGATTAAGGAATTTAACCAATAATTCCCCATCATCAAGTTGAACACTGCAGGGTGAATATTAATATGATATCCGCTCACTTGCTTGACACTAGAGCCGGAATTAAAGGCTCCCTGAAAACTCACACACTCCCACTGGCAGGTTTAGAAAACTCGGCCTATCGAAGAAACTCTCACCTTGCATAAAAAGTCGTATGTAAATACGGAGCTAGTTACATAGGACCCTGATTTCCCGAATGAATGAGCATGTGCCTAAGTGGGTTCAATATGAGACAGCGCAGCAAAAACAGCCGCAAGTCAACGCAATCAAGCAGCATCTTGGATCGCCAGGTATTTATTAACCAGCTCATCTGGTGGAGTTCAGCACGGTATTCTAAATTTTGCTGCGTCATACCAATTCATGGCTCCTCCGATTCTTGGAGACTCTTGCAATAAACCGGGGTAAACCGGTGTTTTGTGTACACAAACAATTGTTGGTCAACCTCAGAATATCCTGGAGGTAATGTCACGTCATCTGCGTCTTTTCCTATCGTTAGTTTTCCTTTTTGTTTGCATCCTCTAACGGTCGTATGCAATTCCAATTTACCGTTTTGTCAATTACTAGACGGATTGAAATGCATACAACTGCCGACATTCTTTTCCTTGCTGCAATTTTGAATCAACCGTGGGGAAGGCATTCTCCTTGTAACATAATTTTGAATTTTTCCATCAACTGCACAAGGGAGAGAGAGGAGTGAATGCGAAAAGTAATTTAGAGTAAGATTAGGAGTACCTGCCATTGGTTGGATTGCAGAAGGTATTTCCTAACCGTTGTAGCCTTCTGTTAAGCTTCCAAATTCTGTTGTTTTGCTTTGCAAAAGTTTGCGCTTTTTACAGTCGGTATGTCTGCATTGCAGTTGGTTCAAGTACAGGCCACTGAAGCAAACTGTTAGTTGTTAGGCAAAACAAACAACTCTGTAGTGAGTTATAAAGGCCTTATATGGAAAATGCGACCACTATTGCGAGTTTGTGTCTAAGTGGGCGGTCAACAACACAAATGTTTGCGGAAATACTGACTTCTCTCAACTGGAATGCAATTAAATCCCCTTGATTGTGAAGACTTCGGTTCGCATAGATCTCGCATTTATCACCGAGGAAATTCAAATGCTGTTTAAGACTGAGGGCACAGCTTAACGAATTACTGTCAATTGTGAATTTACGGGGACTCATCTGTCACTAGTGATAAAGTCCTTCTTGATGTTAAGGCAACAAATCATCCTAAGGTTATTGTCTAAAATATTGTTTATCCTTAGTGAATCAACTAGCGATTTGACAGCCTTAGACTGACATTGTCAATCATTGCGCATTATTAATGCTGGTGTGGGACAGCTGCCTCTCATCTTCCTACACACAAAAACCCAACTTGTCCATTTATTTGAAATGGAGAAATAAAACAAATCGCATCCGTTGTCTCTGAGTATGCACGAAATGACGTGTCGCATCTGTCGTACAACGCAATAGCAAGTGAGCTAACAATGCAAATTATGATGCGGCTTAGTGAACCACACGAAAAATTTGTGACCTGATTATGTTGCCGCTAATATAGCGAAGCAAAGTGAGTTATGTGAAACACTTGCGCTGTTAGCCTCAGTTACACCCCATTGCACAGGACCCCTAAGTACTGGAAAGTTGCCTTTTCGCAGAGATATGTTCTTACTGAGTAAATTTCCATGCAGACTGAGTTTTGGAACTTCTGCTATCTCTTACTCCAGAAATATAAGGGTTAAATAAGTAAATAAGTATTCAGTCTAGTACGGTCTAATTGTAACTGTTATGTTACATTTACTTGCTGAAACCGTTCTATTGTCAACAGGGTGATATACAGTTAAGCAGCTATAAAACAGTTGAGCTTTTGCTTGCGGTATTTGGAAGTGGCTTCTTCTTCATTGATCTTAATCCATAGGTTGATACCCACCTTCGGCGTCAGAAATCTTACTTTGAATCCAGTTATAAGAACAGAGTGTCACTTTTGATTGAGCCACTTTGTAGTCGAGGTCTCGCTTCAAGATATGCAATACTTTGGTTCCAGCATACTCGCCAGTATGTTCACTTATTGCTTTGCAGTTCCAAAGTTTAAGCAGTTATGTTATAATTTCAGCATACCTCTTATATTACGGGACCTACTGAGCACCAGAATTCGCATTTATGCTGAATAATAATATTATCTGTGAATGTATTGCCGCTAATCCCAGCTAACAATCAAGCTAAATTAAGACCTAGTCTATCTAAATACAGACAGAACTAATTATCCCTGTGTTCTCTTGATCAGTGAGCAGGATACGCAGTCCTTCTTGAATTTCCTGTGGAGTCCTAAACGTTATATCTGTCTGGTTGTTATCCCAATACTCCCATTTTTAAACGTACAACCAATAAACATGACAGACAGATGTACAGTAGTATTCTGAACAGAGAATGAAACAGTTTGTAAAATGGAAAGATGGGGAGTCAAAAACTTGGCTACTTTAAAGGTTGCTTGTATCAGTTGAAAGTTTAAGTACCGTACTGCTTAGTATCCGGTAGACAAAGCACTAGCATAAAAACAGACAGTTTCCGTTTTCCGGCTACGTACATGTGATGTGTTCTGTCTTAAACCGGTGTTTAACTTACAAACAGGAGTGATTGGCCAGCCATGAATATTGAGCATTTTGAGAAACCAATGTTACAGCAGTTTAGGCTGTTGGGTCGACTATGTTCAGATACTGAGCTTTTCCAACTTTTGTCGGCGACAATTTCGCACTTGTCTTCTAATGGACCATCGCATAAACAAGAGTGAAGGTTGGCAGGATGAAAGTCAACTGGATCTCGGCTGATGTTCCGACGCACAGCGTTAAATTTTTAAACCAAAATGTACCGTAAATCCAAGTTCTTTACACTCACCAAAGTGAGGGTGAAATCTATGATACAAAATTTATCTAACCGTTGTCAGATTAACTATGGTAAGTTAGAGAAGATTATAACAACTAGCTTGTAACCTACGAAGCCTGTTAATAATTTTATGCTGTAATTTTGACATACAAGCGTAACTTTACAATAATTGGGATTTTTTGAGGATTCTCAGGGTTTTCTTTGCACTATCCATGGAATATTCGTTGGCTTGTCCTTGAGGTGAAGAATGAACACGTCAGTTTAATACTATATCTAAGCTGACACACGTTAGTGGTTTTGATCCTACGGTCTGTTGTGCAGTATCGGTATCAAGCACTCAATCTTTAACGTAGGTGAAATAACAACGGAATATAGTAAAGTCGACATCCGCGTAAGCAGCTCAAAATTATGCAGAAGGAGCAGAAGACTCTAGGTATATAAGAAGTTTTAGGTTTTCGAGTTTTGGCGTAGTTACTAATGCGTCCGACTGCAATTGGCGAAGTTGTTTCGAAAGCTGCAGCTCAGATCTGTTTACGGTAGACAGTATGCAAAGTTACTTGGTTTAACTTTGCGAATAATGTCCATGTCACAAGTCTAGGTCACCTTTTCTCCGGCATATCTACAATCTAGTGGAAATAGGAAGGTATATTTACTATGGCGGTAGTAGTCGGTTTTAATAATATTACGACATTGACCACTTTTCTTGGATAGAAAACAAATTTTTATATGCACACACTACAGACTAAAAGAAACCAGTTAATTCCAGGCACTGGAGCAGCTTGAATGTTGGATTGCCAAGATACATGTAAAAATATATGATTAAAGGAATATAGTATGAAAATGACCCAAATTTAGTGTTACGCAGTTGGGGTCATATATCAAACCTTCTTCACGTCCTAATGATGTAAACTGTGAAAATGGCGAGTCGCAAGATGGCGCGAGATCCAAACTCACCTCTACATTTACAGTCTTCATCTGTGGCTGCCTTCACGGACTTGATTTGCACCGGGTCCGGTGGTAAGTTCCAAAGTTTTTCGTCATTAAAACTATCCGGCAAACCTTTGATGTACAAGTTGGTTCGAGACATTTTTTCCACAGGATTCTGCAGACAATGACTTCGTGCATTATGCCTGGATCCGTTGCTACTGACACTATTGTCGGAACTAACATGCATATCACCCTGCTGGAATTCATGTGCGGAATTATGAACTTTTATTTCCTGCATTGATGAAGCGAATCTTCCGTTGGAATTGGTTGGTTCCAGCTGTCCCACAGAATTGGATGAATACGCACGGACCACGGTATCGTTGTAAGGTCCATTTAGTGTCTCGGCCGAGTTTATACGCAAAGCCAATTTAATCGGTGGTTGTTCATACAAATCCGCATCAGCCAAACGTACTGGATTACTGTCCCCAATCGGAGGCAACATGAGGTTTGATACAAAATTACAGCCACAAACAAGCACTGCGTTGGTAGTTACACACCAATTCAGTGGTCGTGGTGTAGAAGTAAACGGTTAACTTATGTGAGCATTGCAATTCGAAGCCAACCAACTGACAGTCATCGCCATCATGGCCAATGACGATAGCGGTGATGATGAAAATTCCAATGATGCTGATGACGTGCACATCTCGAGCAACGGTGTTTCATTGGTTCATTCAACGCACGTGCAAAACAGTCTCGTGGTCGACCAAGTCGGTCAATCTGTTTCTCGGTATGTACCAACGGCGCATCGCGTACGTCCATCGATGCACGAATGCGTGTGATGTAGGTAGGCGTTCTCCTTGTCTACGGGGCACACACAGCCCGAGTGAGACGCACCTGCTGTTCCTGGCCGCTCAGTCTAAAGTCATAACTATCTTCCTTCGCACTGATGACTGATTTCAGTGCGCCCAAAGCTCACAGGTCTGTCTACCACTGCAGCTTCCAAAAGCCAGATCATCCGGCGATAGCGAAACGGACCCACAAGTGCGCGCCTATGCGCATGATAGTTGTGTATTGACGGTGGATTAATGGTAACTGTTTAGAGCTGTGAGCAATTTTTATGGGGGATGGCAATTCAGCTTCGGAGCAGAGGCTGCAACCGTTGGAGAATCGAACAAAGGCCCCATGAGTCCATGTCGTGCTCACTTTCTGGCACGAAAATATGTCATGCGCCAGTCAGAAACACAGCGAATACCAATACGAGATTGGCTCCTATAAATTGGTCAACAAATTATAGGTAGCTACCAAACATTTGACTAAGACAACTATTGACTTCGTCGCAGTAAATGTGCAAGAATGACTGGCAGCAGTGAATTTCATAGGTTCTGGTTGTCACGTAGGATACTGTGGTGACGACAACGGCTAATATTCAACGGTTCATAATAAGTGGTACTGAGTAAAACCAGTGCTTCACATGTATGCATACGTTGAGTAGAGCAAATGTTAGTAACCCTAACGCACTGGAACAAAGAAAATATAGTTGAATAACTGGCATTTGCAATCATTGAGTGTAAAGATTCACAGTCGTTTAAAGAAATCAGACCGTTCATTGAATGGAATAAGAATACCGAAGGACATGGGCAGTGGACTTCATTCGAATTAACGAAATATAGCAATGTAGACGTTTTGTGATTTTCCTCTCCTTATGTAGAGTAAAACTAAATCAAACGAGACTAATATTCAATATTTTGCTAATAGTTCTACGTAGGACGCTGGGATGGACCAATATATACCAATGGAAGTAAACTGGATAGTTGGTCAGGCTTTGTTTAACTGATCACGCAGATCAGTCTTACCGTTTCAGCAATTACGAATACTATAAACTAGTTCCAACCTTTATTAAGGTGAAAATACTCGCTAACACGTAGTGACGTTTGGCTTAGAAAAACGCGATGGTAAGAACTGGTAATAATGCAGCCGAAATGCTATCAGGTTGGCTTTTTTCTTAAACATTTATCAAAGGTTCAAACATACCAATCAAATCATCGAAGGGTTTACCATCTCTGATGTAGTGACACTATTATTTTCCAAAATAAAACCAGAATTCAATCATAAAAGAGCAAAACGTCTCGCGTACATTGACGCAATCTGATGACCTATTGGATTTGCTCATAGAAAAGAAATAAAATACGTGCGACGCCACTTAAGTGGTCATTGACAATCGCACAGCAAAAAGCTAAATGTGGGTTATTTTCTGTCAAGTGATTACGTCACAAATACGTTTAAGTTCCCTTGCTCTAACGGGACATGTTAAAGTTAGTGGGTTGTGTTTGGCTGAGGTTGAAAGACTAAAGTATCTTCCATCTGTTAGCTAGCACTTCTAAACTCAAGTAAGTTCTTTCACTTCACGCTGTCAAAAAGTGTCAATATCTGTTTGTGTGAACAAAGGTGGGCGACTTCTTGAACTATGGTACTTCACAGACAGTTTAGTGTTCCAGTGAAATAGTTGGCTAATTTTTAACGGTGATGGACAAAGTGAAGTATTTGGCTATTGCTAGATCAAAGACTGTGATAACTTTGGAATGTTCATGTCGTTCTCTAGTTTAGTGAATCAGTTAGTATACTTTCGTGCGCTGCATGTAATCTGGACTGAGAACACGGTAAACCTTATGTTGCTGGTAGACCATTTGTGCCAGAAAAAGTCTTTTCTGCTAATTTCAATCTTTACAGAAATTCCACTGTAGTATCTAATCTTATCAGAAACTGCATTATTTGGTGACCTATGGATAAAAACCACTACGTTCAAAATGTATAATCTGCTATGGGATTGCTACCAAAACCTACTGCTATGGCCCGAAAATACATACCGCTATCCCATTGCTATCCGTCTGTTAGCCTGACTTTTTGCTCATTAAACGCAGCGAGAGTTGTTTTAGAATAAAATAGATGTAACTAATACATCCTGGACCAGTTGCGCAACTAAATTAGCTGGTTATAATGTGTCATGCTGTTTTTCTGTTCTTACTGTTACTGTGGATAACCTATGCAACAGCGCATTATAACTATGCTTGTGATCTGTAAAACTATAAACAAGTAGTTATAGTGGTTATTATTGAAAATGCACGAAACCCGAGGAACTAACTCAGCGTAGGAAAAGATCATCAGCGTTCATTCAAATATCATTTAGTGTCTAAATTGCATTTGTCACTAATAATGGTTTTACAGAGGCATCGGTTGGATTACATCCAAACAAACTTGGCAGTCGAAACCGACCCAACTTAAAAATACTGAATGGATGGCCTCGGCTTCATTCTGGATATATCGTCTATATTTCAGCTAGTATGTCAATGAAACATGTGTACATATCGTGTTAGAAACTGGACGTGGAAATATCGTGATTTCCATTGCTGCTTATGTGTCACTCTTTAAACCATGTGGAATTCAAACTTATCAGGAAGGACATTGTGTATGCCAAAAGTGCATCCTTCAAATTAATTGTTACAAGCTATCGTTCCCGAAAAGTAATTATTTTTTATCTTTGCCCATACACGGTTTATGTTCTTAAATAGGATACTAATGTGTTAGTATTCGTGTTGGTTGGCATATGGCAACTGCGAATATTACCGTGGGCGCTATTACGTGAAATTGAAAACTATGTTCTTAACTTGAACTTCACTCTAGAAAGATGGCTCCCGCGTTTTATAACCCTCAAGAATTACGCCGCTAATATGTGCTAGTGAATAACTAATGCCGAATATCAGATTTCAGCGCCACCTGCCCTAAGCCAGATGAAATGATGCGTCGACTCTCAAATAGGTGTGAAAAGGCAGGCTTAAGCAAACAGTTTCTGAATAGATGGACTGTGAGGTAGTTCACATCTGATCTTACTATCATGATTTAGAAGCACTACTACCACTTTTAAAATGCACCTGGTTAATGCTTAAGTTCATACAGCAAGTTATTTTCTTCATGCGCGAAAAAGCGTATTTATAAACCACAGAGGGAAAGCATTAACATAAAAATCGTGTGCGTTATCAACCCATGCTATGTAGGTGAATAACGAAAAGCACCTTGTTGTTTAGTTTTGCATTTACAGATCGAGTTTTTCAATTCCCTGATTATGAACTTTGCAGGTGTATATATAAAATAGGTTTGATATCGCTGTTCAAAAAGTTGTGTCCTTGCAAAACATTGTCGACGTCACTTACATCTTTCAAGCTGCAAAATGGTTGATTAGTTTTTTGCTCAAATGTTACATAAATTACCGCAGTCGCATTAAATACAAAAGACGACCTTACGTAGCCACCGTAATTACAGGGTTATTAGTTTAAGAAAACCTCACTCTTGTATACTGTACCCCATATAAAACCCTCAATTATCACCCTGCTTATCGTCACGTTGGGTTTTATATATCACCGTCTCCATTAGTGAACTATTTATTAGAATGCACTTTAATTGAAGAGTACGGTAGATGTTGATACTTTAAAAGTACGAAAACACAAAATACATAGAAATGACTATGGCCTATGAGATCAACTGCAGATACTCTGCTGTCTAATGTTTATGCGAAGTCGGCCTATTTTTAATAAAACCAAACTTAAGGGGACGTTTGCTAAAAACCAAGCTAGTTTATTTAACAAGGCAATTAAACATGCCAGTCCCCATAAGCAAAATGAGGACGTTGTGCCAGTCCATGCAATGACATGATCCAAGTCTCGTGTGCTCTTTTCTGTAACTGAGCAAGTTAATATCAGTTCAAACATAGGAGAACGCAGATATTCCGAAAAATAAAGGGCGTGATATGATGGAGTGTGGAACTTAAGAACGATTCTTCTAATCTTCTAACCTTCCTTCTGTGAATAAACGGGAGTAAACTACGATAAAGTAAACAAACCACTGCAGTTTCAGTATTGAATTTTGAAAACCCTGCATCTTTTACATTCCACACGATTACTTTTAGAGGACCGTTTATAAACATTCGATTTTGTCAGGTGTTCCCCAACATAAAACTACTGTCACAATATACAGCTACGGAGGACGTTTTATAATCGCAGTTAGACATAAAACCGACGAAAAAGCGGTGGGAAAGTCTGAAAATATGGTGGATGGTGGAAAATAAGGCATAATGAGTATACGGAATTATTTGAGGAAGAAAACCAAACAAATTGCAGCCTGCATTTATCTTAAGAGCTTTTGATTTATGTTGACCCCGGCGAAAGGAAAACTAAGCGCTGTGAAATATACAATATAGTGGTTACGATGTCAAAAATACTGCTTTCCAGGTAGCCAAATTTTCCACGGAATAACGAGGAAATTGAAAGCCTTTTCTTATTAGCAAATATAAGATATAAGTAAGCAGTGTTATCTTTTGCCTTCTGATCCTACAGTTAGTTTTGAAATCTTGGGGATAAATATGACAGTTCTACACATTCCAGAATCCGTAATTGCGATGCGAACTGGTGCTTACTTTTGCAATGTGCAATAAGAGTGAAGTAAATCATAATGTTTTCATTGTGCTTCATGAAGTATATTCCCCAGTTTGTAGTGTTTTTCATAAATATTTAACAGTCCCTTTGGGATTTTTCTCATTCTCACCAGTTAAAAATTCTCA